TAGGGAGTTCAAGCCCCGCATCGGGCTCTGTGCTGAGAGTGGAGAGCCTGCTCGGGATTCCCTCTCCCCCTCCTCCCTCTGCCCCTACCCTGCTTGTGCTCTCTGTCTCAAAATAAATAAATAAACTTTAAAAAATCTTTTTTTTTTTTTTTTTTTTTTTTTTTTTTTTTTTTTTCAAAAAGAAGGCCTTTAAAAATATTGTTGAAGGAACACATGAGAGGATGAATCCCAGATTCCTGCCCAAATACTGCAGATCTCTGTTATATAGCGTTAGGAACATTTCTGCTAGCTGAAGTATTTCCAAAAAGTCTTTTCTCATTATTTGCTGGCTTAATTTACTATTTGCAGGGCAACTCCTGTGCATTTGTTACAAATACTAAATCTGTGAACTGCATACTAATTAGGTCTTGTACATCTTCCCACTGAACCCATTCCAGCTCCACCAGTCCGGGGTGTGCGAAGTTACACAATGTTCTTTCAGAAAGGTAATTCGGGGTATATAGCATATATTATGACAAAAGAACAAAACAAAACAAAACAAAAACACCTCAGGTGGACCCAGAGCAGCACCCTGTGATCAAACACATTAATATTTCTGCAGCAAAATGTAAGAACAATCACACTAGTAGAATATAGTTTAAAAGTTGCCTCATGTTGGTTCAAGGCAGTTTTGCAACAAATAGTTCATGTTTGGTCAGGATTTTTGCCAAAACTGTGGATGTGAAAAAGGTAGATAATATGGTATATCAAAAAGCTCTTATGACCTGCCATTAAAAGAGCCCTCAGGCCACTCTCACCTTTTTCCCTATTCCTCCCTGCCCTTGGCAACCAAACCCTAGAGCAGATTTTTTTTTATGTTTCGAAATGTTTATTTATTTATTTTGACAAAGAGGGAGAGAGGGAATCCCAAGCAGGCTCTATGCTGTCAACACAGAGGGGCTCGACCCCATGAACCGTAAGATCATGAGCCAAAATCAAGAGTCAGATGCTTAACTGACTGAGCCACCCCTGCAGCAGAATTTTTTTATTTTTAATTTTTTAATGTTTTTATTTTTGAGAGAGAGACAGTGTGAGCGGGGGAAGGGCAGAGAGACAGACAGACAGACAGACAGAATCTGAAGCAGGCTCCAGGCTCTGAGCTGTCAGCACAGAGCCCTGACGTGGGGCTCGAATACATGAACTGAACCATGAGATCATGACCCGAGCTGAAGAGGGACACTAAACTGACTGAGCCACCCAGGCGCCCCTACAGCAGAATTTTTAAACCTGCTCATCTTTAAGAACAAATATGCAAAAGCTTCTGCCTAAAATGTAATTTTTCACTAAGCTTTCTCCTAATTCTTCTGGACTTCACTCTCTTCCTTCCCCAAATTCTTGCAGTTCTGGTCACCTGCAATGTCAGCATGTAATCATATACCAGATTATACTGGTTTTATGAGTCATTTTTATCTGAGAGATCTAAGCAACTTTAAGTCAGGGTCTGGTATTTTATATTCACTTAAAAACTATATACTTAAAAAACTCATGAAAAGCTGGGGGGGAGGGGTGGGCAGGGTGGCTCAGTCGGTTGAGCATCCAACTTCGGCTCCGATCACGATCTCGCGGTTTATGAGTTCAAGCCCTGTGTAGGCCTCTGTGCTGACAGCTCAGAGCCTAGAGCCTGCTTCGGATTCTGGGTCTTCCTCTCTCTCTCTGACCTTCCCTCACTTGTGTTCTCTCTCTCTCTCTCTCTCTCTCTCAGAAACAATAAATGAATAAACTTTACAAAAATCATTTTAAAAAGTAATAAAAAAATAAATTTTATACATAAAAATGAAAACTATATACTGACTACCTACTATGTGTTAGGTACTGTTCTAAATCCTGGGCACACAGTCCTCAAAGAATGTACGCTTTAGAGTAGAGAGACAAGTAGGTCATGTGGTTTTGAGTGCTATGGAGAAAAATAAAGCAGGGAAGGAGAATAGGAGAATGCAGGACAAGCCATGCAAACAGAACCAACAAAAAGCATTCTTGGCAACATAGACAGTTATGGCCTAGCACAGGGACCTCCCTCACCACCTCCTGCACCAAAGAAGAATTAATTACTTTCTTATTCTCCCACTCATTCCTGTTTCCCCGCTGTGCTCTATTGTAGCAGCTCTCTCCATACTCCACAATTATCTGACAGGTCGGCATTGTTTCCCAAACTGAAGGCAAAAATGACGCCTTATTCCAGTTGCTGGTAAATATTTTTTGTAAGGAGCCAGATAGTAAATAGTTGAGGCATTATGGGTCATCAGGAGACACCGTTGCTACTACTCAACCTTGTCTTTGTTGCAAAAAGCAAGCATAGAGCCCTTTTGGTTCCCCGAGCAGAGCCATGGCAATCAGTAAGAAGAAGGGCCTTACAAAAGGCAGCAAAAAAGGGGGCCAAGAAGAAAGTGGTTGATCCATTTGCTAGGAAAGATCAGTATGAAGTGAAAGCACCAGCTACGCTGTAAGAAATATTGGAAAAACACTAGTCACGAGAACTTAGGGAGCCAAAACTGCATCTGATGGCCTCAAGGGTTGTGTTTTGTAAGTGAGCCTTGCTGATCTACGGAATGATGAAGTTGCATTTAGAAAATCCAAGCTAATAACTGAGGATGTTCAGGGCAGAAACTGCCTAAGTTCTATTGTGTGGATCTCACCCGTGGAATTCTAGGAAAGTTCCATGGTCACAAAATGGCAGACCACGACTGAAGCTCATGTTGATGTCAAGCCACCGACAATTATTTGCTTCATCTATTTTGTGTTGGTTTTACTAAAAAACCCAACAATTAGATTTGGAAGGCCTTTAGGCTCAGCACCAACAGATCCACCATGTTCAGAAAAAGACAATGGAAATCATAACCCGAGAGGTGCAGACAAATGACTTGAAAGCACTGGTCAATAAACTGATTCCAGACAGCATCGGAAAAGACACAGGAAAGGCATGTCAATCTATTTATCCACTCCGTGATATCTTCATTAGAAAAGTAAAAGTGCTAAAGAAGCCCAGGTTTGAGTTGGGAAAGCTCATGGAGCTTCATGGTGAAGGCAGTAGTTCTAGAAACGCTACTGGGGATGAGACCAGTGCTAAAGTTGAACGAGCTGATGGATATGAGCCACCAGTCCAAGAATCTGTTTAAAATTCAGTCATTTAATGGTGACAAATAAGAAGTCTTATTTGTGACGTTAAAAAAAAAAGCAAGCAAGCAAGCAAGCAAGCAGGCAGGCAGGCATAGACAACAAGTAAAGGAATGAATATAGCAGTGTTCCAACAAAACTTTACTTATAAAAATAGGACAGAGTCGGCCTGCAAGAGGCAGTTTGCCAACTCATATCTTATTCTCTGCATCCCTAGCAATGAATGACAATATTTTCCAGAGAGAAACTCAAAAACATATTTATTATACTGAATAGGAAATCAGTAAGCCCTAGTTAAAATGAATTAAGCATAGGAGAAAATGTTAATTTAGCGGATGGCTATCCTTGCTGAAAGAGTCACCAGCCATTGACTAAAATGAATATTTGCCAATTTCTTACCTAGAGTGTAGGCTATGAAGTTGAGGATTCCCACCACAATCCAAACCCAGTCGGGTACATGCTTGTGACCCGGTGCTGCAAAGGAAAGCACTCAGACTTCAATACAAAATATGATCATTCTTACTACAGCACCCACTGCCATTGAGAAATATTTCTATTAAATAGAAGTTCTATTAAATAGAAGCTAAATAGAAGTTTACAATACACTTTTAATGCAGATTTAGGTAAATATTAAAATACATCAGGACACTGACAAAACCAAAGAAGTAACTGCCCAACCCCTCATAAACAATAGGCACTTATTTTGAGCTTTAATCATAACTCAAAACTGACTGTTCATCTCTACCTGAAAATTACTTACATGCTAAGAATGAAAAGTAATGTTTTTGGAACTTAAAAGATGCTTGTGTTTTAATCTGATCTTCATTGTTGACGAATATCCTACAAACACGTATTGAACCTTCAATCTATATTTTCTCACTACATTATTAACTAGCTAAACAAAAGACCTTTTCATTTGGGTGACTAAGTATCAGAAGGTCTGGGTTCCAGTCCTGGCTCTATATTCAAGCAGCCGTGTGACCATGAATAGATCGTTTAGCCTTTCCTATCTTCCATTTCCCAAATATACCAGGACTAGATGGTTTATCTGGTCCTCTAGTTTCTATGATTTGGGGAAATACACATAATATTTACATATTTTTAGCCCTCTTAATAACTAGTAAATAATGTTAGAGTAGTTAGAAAAATTAATATTCCTAGTTATAAAAGAAACTTTTGAAGACGTTCTAAAGATTAAAATACAAATTTTTAAAAGCCGCTTAATATCAAAACCATGCTTGATAAAATTTAATCTTATTATCCACATAGTACCTTATGATCTTCGATTGTCATTTTATTACATGTACAAAAGCTATGGCTTAAAATTTCAATTGCTAAAGGTAGGCATACATACAGTTTCAATATTCAGAATTTCTATAGGATCAAGTTGTAAGTTTTTCCTAAAAAAACAATGTTGTTGGTGACTTAATTTCTCCAGGTCAGTCCACAAAAGTCTGCTAACCCCACAACACCAGTGAATTATAACACTAAGACTGTTTACTACATCACTGATAAATATTCTTACTGGAAAATACATACTCTGACTTAGAATGCAAAAATTATTCATCTACCTCCATCTTTCTATTCCTCTCAACCCTATCAACCGGCTGAGCAATGAAAATAAACTCATTCGGCCATTTATCCCCCCTCATCCCAAATACAGCCAGATTCTGTCCTATGGCCTGGGGCAGAAACAGGGCAAGGGAATGTGAAGACAGGAACAACTATGAAAGAAAACACTGGAGTCTGGGGTGGAAGCAGGCCAACAACTGCCTCCAAAAGCATTTCTCTTCTCCCTTCCCCAACTGACTTCTGTCAATAAACATCCACGGTCTAAGAACCATTTTCACAGGAAACTTGGAGTTATTCAAGGCAAATGTGGATGCTGAGCAGAGGGAAAGAGAGATCACATTCCCATCAAAGGCGGGGGGGGGGTGATTTTTCTTGCATCATTAGAAAAAGAGAAGGGAGGGGCGCCTGGGTGGCTCAGTTGGTTAAGCGGCCGACTTTGGCCCAGGTCATGATCTCGCGGTCTGTGAGTTCGAGCCCCGCGTCGGGCTCTGTGCTGACAGCTCAGAGCCTGGAGCCTGTTTCAGATTCTGTGTCTCCCTCTCTCTGACCCTCCCCCGTTCATGCTTTGTCTCTCTCTGATTCAAAAACAAATAAACGTTAAAAAAATTTTTTTTTTAAAAGAAAAAGAGAAGGGATATTTCTGGAACTGGTAAATACGTTGGACCCTGCTTATACTCACTTTCAGGCAAAGTGTCACAGTCCTAAATATTTTGTCTTCTTGTAAATCCAATTATTCTTTATTTATCAAAACCCCAATGCTTTTTAGACAGCCCATCTACATTAAGTAGCCAATTTGGTTTCTAGAACTTAATGGAAATATGCATAACAGATTGTGAAAACACAACTTAGCTTTTACACCCAATTCTAACATTTTACATACCTTTAAAATATCCAGAACTTCTCCAACAGACAAGCATATTAATTGAACCAGAAAATAACCACATGTCATTTTTCTCCATTTAGGCATTTTAAATTTTATATTAAAGTAATAATCTTACCTGAAGCATAAAAGTCAGGATCAAAGTATGCCATGAGTAGGAAATTGAACACAACCAGCAGAAAGCCAGAGAAGGTTATCAGATTTGGAGCCAGCCAAGTAGGAAATACCTATTTGTTTCAAAATAATTACAAAATAATTAAAGTAAAGGAAGAGCTCTGGCCACTATGCAATATGAAACTTAAGTCATAATAAAAGCTATAAACTTGACAGATCATATCTAGGAGGTATATATATTAAAACATAAACCACAATGTTCAGTTGATAGAAATAAGCATTTCATTCTTCTGTTTTCTATATTTTAAATTCTATAATCAACAAACTTATAATCATAATATTATTTTAGAAAATGTTTAAATGCATTTTATAAAAATGATAAATTCTAGTATAAGAATATAAACTTATACTTCAACAATAAAATAAATCAAAAGGTATGTGACTAAGGGAAAGGAGAATGAGAGAGTAATTTCTCTAGACATCTTACTAAACAAACACTTGTATCCATAACACTCCTTAAAATACTTACAACTTACTAAAACGTAAGTACAAGCCTATTAATCGTCTTACCTTTACTATAGTATTCCAAAATGGATGCATGACATACAGAGAGAGTGGATTGGTATCCACAGCACTGTACTGTTAAGAAATGAAAAGAAAATATTCAGTTCTCCTTGCACACTGGCAAGTAGTACAATAATCCTGGAGCGGAAGTAATACTACAAAAATAACCCAGAGAACATGTCTGTTTACATGATGTCCTGGTCTATATAACAAAACTGGAGGAACAATATAAATAGGGCAAAGACAGTCAAGTACAGCCACGTTTCTCTGTTTCACTCAACCAACTTTTATAGTGTTACACTGTTTCGGGAGTGTTGGGGAGATTTATATTGCTTACAAGGTCTCACTCACAATGCAAGATCAAAAACGCTCCCGCTGTGTACATTCAAACACTGACTTTCTCAACCTCCTCCGAATACGCTTACTAAGTGTGCAACCTCGGGCAAGTTACTTCATCTCTGCCTTAGTTTGTCCGCTTGTAAATGAGGATGATAGCTTCTACCCCAAAGGTCTGCCATAAAAATTAGGCAAATTAACCATACGCATGAGTGCCACGTATTAGATATTACTAACTGTGCTTTAACCACCAAAGGATGACAGATCCCTTTACAGCAGGAAAACGGATCACATACATAAGCAACGGAAGACAACAATAGGTTAGGGTTCGGTGGTAATCAAGTTTATTCCCTAATTATGGAGTTATTCAGTAAAAATTCAAAGGAGATTTTAACAAATAGACACACACATACTGGAGTACCTGGCATGCTGGAAGCACTCCACTAGGTGTGGGGAAGAAGGGATACTTAATTGGTAAGGGATCATTCCCACCTCATAGAGTGGGAATATTACCTAATTCGTCCAGTTGACATTTACACAATGTCACAAAGAGTCAAATGTCTGAAAAAAAGTTTGTGTTGTTTTTTTTTTTTAAATTAAGTCTATTTATTTATCTTGAGAGAGAGTGTGTGCAAGCCAGGGGAGGGGCAGAGAGAGAGGGAAAGAATCCCAAGTGGGCTCCGATGCGGTGCTCAGTCACACAACGGTGAGATCATGACTTGAGACTCAATCAAGAGTCAGACACTTAACGGACTGAGCCACCCAGACACCCCAAAAAGTTTTGGGTTTTGTTTAATTAATTAATTTATTTTGAAAGAGACAGCAAGCAGGGGAGGGGCAGAGAGAGAGAGGGAGAATCTCACACAGGCTCCGCTGTCAGCACAGAGCCCAACGTGGGGCTCAAACCCACAAACCGTGAGATCATGACCTGAGCTAAAATCAAGAGTTGAATGCTCAACTGGCTTAGCCACCCAGGAACACCCACCCCCCCCCCGAAAAGTTTTGTATTTTATATTTATGCTTAGTATGTACATAAAATTGGTAGTAAGCGTTTGAATATCTAATTTTTTAAAAATCATAAAGGTCAAATTTCTCCCTGAATGCTTTTGAATACACAGGAAGTGTTTTCTCATCAGTGTTTCAAGACTCACAAGTGTGATGGAACAAAAATAGTAAATAAACAGAAATAACTTAAAATACTGGAGCAAAGACAGATAACTAGTTAAGTCAAAATGATCGAACAGGCTCCATGTCTGAGTACCTTCATTTCTCCAACCCATTCCGACTGAAATGGGATCAGTGGGACAAAGGACCTGAGCTAGACGGTGGGAGGAAAACAGAGAAGAACT